CTCAGCCTCCTGAGTCGCTGGGATTACAGGCACGTGCCACCATGCCCAGCTAATTTTTTGTAGTTTTAGTAGAGACGGGGTTTCACCATGTTGACCAGGACGGTCTCGATCTCTTGACCTCGTGATCCACCCGCCTCGGCCTCCCAAAGTGCTGGGATTACAAGCTTGAGCCACCGCGCCCGGCCGGAAATATATATATTTTTACACGACACCAAAAGTAAGATCAAGAAGAGCAAAAATAAACAAATGGGAGTGCATAAAACTAAAAAATTCTGTACAGCAAAGGACACAATCCACAAAATGAAAAGTCAAACTACAGAATGGGAAAAAAATGTTTTTAAACCCTATATCTGATGAGGGGTTAGTATCCAAAGCATAAAAAAGATTAACATAACTCAATAGCAAAAAAAGAAAAGAAAAAAGAAAAACACTTAAAAAATAGGCAAAGGATGTGAATAGGCTTTTTTTTTTTTCCCACAAAAGACATGGAAACATCCAATAGGTACATGAAAAGGTGTTTAACATTACTGATCAACAGGGAAATGCAAATCAAAACCACTATGAGATGTCACTTCACAGCTGATAATATGATGACTAGTATCAAAAAGGCAAAAATAACAAATGTTGGAGAGAATGTGCAGAAAACAGAACCCTTGTAGACTCCTGATGGGAATCCAAATTGGTACAGCCATTATGGAAAAGAGTAGGGATGTGTCTCAAAATATTAAAACTCGAATCCTATTTCTGAATATGTAGCCAAAATAAATTAAATCAGCCTTTCTTAAAAATAGGAAATCCCCACAGCACGATCATCCATACATCCTCTGTTTTTCCACTCTCTAAGTGCCTTGTCTACTTTTTCTTAGTCATTGTGATTTTGGGTGTCTTAAAATGTATCTGGGATTTTGTTTTAATCAGGCATGATAAGGTGGCAGGCATGAGATGATTGCCTTTGAAAGAAAAGTTTTTTCTTATAGTTCTCAAGAAAAGGAGATACATTATACCACTGAGGGCCACATGGAGAAGTGCCAGGTTTGGTCAGGAGGCAGAAAGAGAAACGGGAAAGCAGGTAGGCAAGCTTCAGCCAGTTAGAATTGGATAGTTTGAATAACTTGGGCAGGCTCTGTGCTACAGGGGTGATCTCTAGTTGTCTAATACTTGGCCTTGAGTGATTTAAGGCAAGAAAAATATTGGGTTAGTGAGTGTGAGTTAAGTAAGTGAGTTACTAGGGAATATGGGCTCTGGATTGATTGGTTTGTATATAAAAGGCATGGTTGCAGGCATGTTGTTTGCTATCTCTAGGAATTAGCTAGCCCTGGGAGGGGCAGTTAGGTCCTCAAGATGTTAAAGCATCATAAGCACTGGTTAAAAAAATGATTCATACACTAGGATAAAATCAAGACATCAACATATATCAACAGGCCAATATAATATAAATAGAAACAGTAACAATAGTGTCATCCTTCTGATTATTCTTTAAAGTGGCTTGTATATGGATGAGGGGGTATTGTCAGATTTTTCCAGGATGCTTTTTGTAAATCCACAGGATATTTATTTTATTCAGATTTTACTGCTCATATTGATAATAAATATGGATTTTGTGAGTAGCGGTGATGAAGAGGCTAGGTCTGAGATGTTTGGTAAAGCTCCTAGATTACCATGGTATTGTCTTACCCTCCCCTTGCCTCCCAGCTCACACTAAGAACAGTAGTGGTAGGTGGTGAAGGGCCATTGTTATAAAGCACTTTGGGCCATGATAATTTTCTGTTACAGGCACAATTCCCCCAGCAATGGTCTGTGATTGGTCATGATGCTTTGGGAGGAAGATAAAAGTTGGGACATCTTCTGCCATTTAACAAGTCAATGGGATTTTAATATCTTGGGTAATACATTGAGAAACATTCTGTTTTATATGGCAAGACTCTTAGCCAAGACCTTTAGCCTGAGATCCTTAGTGCTCAGTCCAATATTTTATAAAACTTGAGGGCCAGGCGCGGTGGCTTACGCCTATAATCCCAGCACTTTGGGAGGATGAGGCGGGTGGATTACAAGGTCAAGAGATCGAGACCATCCTGGCCAACATGGTGAAACCCCGTCTCCATTAAAAATACAAAAATTGGCTGGGCGTGGTGGCGTGCGCCTGTAGTCCCAGCTACTCAGGAGGTTGAGGCAAGAGAATTGCTTGAACCCAGGAGGCAGAGGTTGCAGTGAGCCAAAATCATGCCACTGCACGCCAGTCTGGCAGCTGGTGACAGAGCGAGACTGTCTCAAAAACAACAACAACAACAAAACTTGAGAAATAATTTTTTATCAAATCTGGTAATGTGAGTAGGATATTTAAATATTTCTGTCTACTCTTCCAGCAATGTATTGCCCACTCCTTCACTGCTTTAGGTATCACCATTTTATTTTTCAAATACCATTTTGAGTTGTCTTTGATGAGATTGTTGTGATCCTCTTCTTGCCTCGTTCGTCACACATCTTATAAGCAGCTACTCAGTGTTGACTTCCGTAGTTAGTGGAGATGACGAAAAATAAGAAACATTCAAAGTTCCTAATTTTTGAAATCTGTAAAGATGACAGAAGGCGATGGTTCAGGGGATGAGGGTGTGGCATTGGCTGCCTGGCACTGTATCATAATACGGTGTGAGCAATGCAGAGCAAAGATAGGAGCAGGGTTTTTGGATGGTGTGGAATCTAGAAAAAGCAGCAAACATATTTTTAGATGAACTAATGATCGATTTATAAATAATCTGGTCATGGCAATTGTTTAGGGAGAAGGGTTTGCAATGTTCAGAAGGTGGAAGATCATTACAAAAGGAAATACATCCGTTAATGTGAAAATGTCTGGTAGAGTGTAGCATATCTAGTAATCGGTAAAAACCCCTCATGAGGAAATCATTAGGTGTAAGTGTAGAAGTTCTTACGGAAGTTCTTATGGAATGTTAGCTCTGTCTCCCTGTATCTCTCTATGTAGATAGATATTCCATAGAGATAGATATAGATAATTGCTCAATGTCTGTCTGCATAGTTATAATATATAATAAATTCTATGCTATAAGAAAAATTGAGATGTGTGTATATATGATATAAATTCAATTTTATATAAATCTATTCTTATATTCTTATAAATCTATTCTTATTATCTATTCTTATAATCTATTTTTATAATCTATTCTTATAAATCTATTCTTATAAATCTGTTCTTATAATCTATTCTTATAAATATAGATTGAGATGTGTGTATATATACGTGATATAAATAGGTAGATGCATTTAAGCTGAGTCATTCTTTTTTGAGAGGGGAGTTAAAACTAAAAGATATCTCTAAAATTGTTAAAGACAATTTAGACACACTGTGAAAAGAGAAGTACTGTTGAAATAAATGAGTAACTACCCCAAGGATTACTTTGTAGAAGGTGTCCGTTAAGCGTGGATATAGGCATGGTATTTTTAATTTTTGTAGTCTTGTTAGTGAAGCTGTCATCTTACTAGATGTGAAGTATTTTGTTTGTAGCTTTAATAAATATTAGAGAGTTAGAAGTAGCTGGGTTAATGTGTATTAATATATTATTAGCAAAATTTGCTAGAAATGTGGAAATCTGATGTAAAATCAATGCTATGTAATAACCAAGGTTATTACTTTAGTTAATAATGTTAAAAGTAGTATGTAAATTCAGTAAGGGAGGAACCATTGTAAGTTGGAGTAAGGAAAAAAGGCCGTGAGGCCAGACGCGGTGGCTTACGCCCGTAGTCTCAGCACTTTGAGAGGCCGAGGCAGTCAGATCATGAGGTCTGGAGCTCGAGACCAGCCTGACCAACATGGTGAAACCCCATCTCTACTAAAATTACAAAAATTAGCCGGGCATGGTGGTGCATGCCTGTAATCCCAGCTACTCAGGAGGCCAAGGCAAGAGAATTGCTTGAACACAGGAGGCGGAGATTGCAGTGAGCTGAGATTGCGCCACTGCACTCCAGTCTAAGTGACAGAGGCGGACTAAGTCTAAAAAAAAAAAAAAAAAAAAGGCCATGATCTAAATGATCTAATAAACCACACCACAATGAATGACTCACATTTGAATACAGACATATTCATGTGCCAGTATGCAGATAATGGTCTGCATAGTCTCCATAGACTGTGTGATATAAAATTATAATGGAGCTGAAAAAGGTCATAGAAATAAGATCATTGTAGCAATCATAAGATCCTAGTACAACACCTTATGCACATGTTTGTGGTGACTCTGGTATAAACTTACTACTCAATGAAAGCCTCGGGTATTTTCTTCAGGAAGTAATTCAGAAGAAGGCATTGTTAAGGTAGAAGATATTAGCTCTTGCATGCTGTTGGCATTGAAAACCTTTCAGTGGGATCACATGAGGAGGTGAGAGACAGAGATATTACTATCCTGAACCCGTGTAAGCCTAGCCTAGTGTGTATGTTTGTGTCTTTGTTTAAAAGGACAAGTTTAAAAAGTAAATAAATAAATTTAAAAATAGAAAATAATCTTTATACATATATATATATATTTTATTATACTTTAATATACGGGGTACATGTGCAGATCTTGCAGGATTATTACATAGGTATATACTTGCCATGGTGGTTTGCTGCTCCACCCCCAACAGACCCCAGTGTGTGATGCTCGCCTCCCTGTGTCCATGTGTCCTCATTTTTCAATGCCCGCCTATGAGTGAGAACATGCAGTGTTTGGTTTTCTGTTCTTGCATCAGCTTGCTGAGAATGATGGTTTTCAGCCATCTGTATCCTTTTTTTATGGCTGCATAGTATTCCATAGTGTATATGTGCCATGTTTTCTTCATCCAGTCTATCACTGATAGGCATTTGGGAGTGAAAGGATATAAAGAAAGTATTTTTGTGTAGTTGTATGATATGTGTGTTTTAACTGTTATTACAAAGAAATCAAAACTTTTAAAAAAATAAAAAGTTTATAAAGCAAAAATGTTACAGTAAGCTAAGGTTAATTTATTATTGAAGAAAGAAAAAAATGTTAATAAATTTAGTGTAGCCTAAGTATAGAGTGTTTATAGTCTATAGAAATTAGAGCAATGTCCTAGACCTTCACCACTGACTCGCCCAGAGCAACTTCCAGTCCTGCAGTCTCCATTCATGATAAGTGCCCTATGCAGGTGCACCCTTTCTTTAAATTTCACATTTTGACTCTGCCCTTTCTATGTTTAGATATGCTTAGATACACATGTACTTACAAATGTGTTATAGTTGCTTACAGTATTCACACAGCAACATGCTATACAGGTTTGCAGCCTGGGCGTAACAGTCTATTGTATATATACAGCCTAGGTGTGTCATAGGTTGTACCATCTAGGATTGTGTGAGCACACTCTATGATTTCCACACAATGACAGAATTGGCTAAAGACACATTTCTCAGAATATATTCCCACCATTAAGCCACACATGACTCTTTACAAAGAAGCAGGAGGCATTTTAGGTAGGTAGACTAGCTCAGGGATGTGCAGGAATAACAAGCACAGTGGACAGTGTGATACAGGAGATCTAATAACCAAATATTTTCATTTTCCTCTCTTCTTTTCTCCCTCCCTTTCTCTCTTCTTTCTTTCCTCCCTGCCTTCTATCTTTCACCAGACCTCTTCCCCTCTCTCCCTCCCTTTCGTTGCCTCATCTGATTTCTCATTTTCCAACACCCACTATCATCATCACCTCATTGTTATCAATTGGCGGCATATATTTATACATATATATATGTATATGTATGTGTGTGTGTGTGTGTGTATATATATATATATATATATATGTATAATGTCTATGTTCTTCTGCCTGTATGAGTGCATGTATATAAGCCATCTAGGTGTACAGAGATTATTAATAATAATATCAAGTTCCAAACACAAGTTTTTCCCACCAGACCCACCTTATCAATGCCACCAGTTCAGAATACCTGCCCCATGGCCAACCCCTTCTTTAACTACAATACCTTTCCCATTTAACCCCATTAGCCTTTCCCTCATGTTGGTTTGTTTCTGCTCCAGTTTCAAGAGTCCTAGGAAAAGACCAACTCTGTACACCACAAACGGCATAAACTACCACACTCTGCTCAGTCAAAGACATGATAAGTACTTATCCAACATCTTTCATGTGTGTCTATGGCCGTGTGGTGAGTACTGCAGTGTGAAGAAGTGTGTATGTCTTGGTTTTCTCATTAGGAAGCTTCACGTCCCACTAGTGAGACAAGAATGTACATGTTTATATACATGCTAATGTGTATGTAATTAATAGTTAGCAAATGTATAAGAAAGAAGACTTAGTGAGCACTTACATTGTACCAGGCACCGTTCTAAAAACATTTATAATAACTTGTATAATTCTTACAAAATCCTTTAAGGCAAAGACTATTTTTTTTTACCATTTGACAGATAAGAAAGTTTAAATGACACATGACAGGACTAATGATATCACATGGCGGCTTGAATTCTGTGGCTGCCTGCACATCACCAATCTTGGTATTTTTCCGGCACCAGAGAGGAGTAATAGAAAGACCCTGAGTACGGAAATTGGATAGCTTTGGTGTGAATTACGCCTCTTCCATGAATGATCTGCAGGACTTTGGACATGAAAGTTTGATCGTTCCAATGTAGTTTACTTCTTTGCCAAAGGGGAACAATAATACTCATGTTGTAGTCACTTCCCAATGATTAAATGAAAAATAATAATAATAGTGGCTGTTCATAAGGGTGTAGCAGCCACATGGTCCTGAAAATTTAACATAGATTATACGCACACATAGAGGTGTCACTACTCCCCTTTAATACATATGCAAATTGATACTTAAAAAGAGGTCTTGCTCAATATCACCAAACAAACAAACAACAGAGCCAAGATTCAGACTAAGGTCTGTGTGCCTTAAAATTGATGTTCTTTCTTATATCATCCATATTGCTGTACATATGGTACAATTCCTCCCTCATCAGTGGGGGCTGCTTCCGAGGCTGTTAATTCTCTAGCACTTTTGTTCTTCACTGGCAATGAACTCAGAATCCTCTTGCATCTGGAGAAAACTCTCAAGCAGAGCAGCATGCCATGCATAGGAACTGTCCAGCAAGGCAACAAGGGACCTCCGGGGCAGGGTGAGGGCATGTTGGCAGGATACTACCATCATGTTTCAACACCTAATCTTACAACTTGCATATAAATGAACAGGGCCATTGAACTCTAGGGTGAGAACAATGCGCTTCCAATGCCTTCTGCTTGTGCATGTTTTTTGAGTTCCTTGCAACATGTCAACTCACGACTATTTGAGGGCACCTGGTGCAATGCACAGGTGTGTCATTACAGGTGTGCCACACTGTAGACTTCCCGTCAGTGCTTTGAGTAAGAACTGAAGTCCCATGTCTTTTACTCCTTTCAGATCCCTTTGGGAAGACAGATGAGCGGGAACCACTCACTAACGCAGTTCGAAGTGATTCGGCAGTCATTGGAGGTAAAGGGTTCATTGTTGTTGAATGCATAAAGACATAAATCATCCTGTATTTTGGATACAGTTATCTGAAGCCTTCCTTAATTAAGGCCATCCAATACACAGAGCCCCACATTATCTACAAGCCTGTGAGCTGCTTTTCATGAGTAGTCATGTGTGCTGAATGATCAAAGTCACCCTCTGCCGATACCAGCAGCTCTGTGGATTTATCCTGCCTCTGATTCATGAGGCAGCTGAGCACTGAGTCAACAGCTGGAGCATTTACTTACAGACGGCAGCTCACATTCTGTTCATTTCATATAGTTGTCACTGTTTCTAAAATGCAAACAAAGCAGAATGATACAACTAAATACGGAGAAGAAGCCACGTTGGGGCAGACAACGGGTGAAGCCGCAGTTCTGTCGAGCGTTCCCCACCAAGTGATTTGGGTTAGGTCTAACGAGCAGGGTGAAGCCCACAGGGCTGTAGTTTCAACTCTCACTGCACATATGGTTACAGATGCAGACCTTGTCTGCTCTGCTGTGAGCTCAGCTCTCCTGCTTTTCCATTTTCTCACTGCCTGTTGGCCTCCCCACTTTTCTATTCTGCTTCAGCTTGGCTTCCGCCTGCTGGGGCTTGATTTTTCCATCTGAGTCTTGCAACACAGAATGATTCCCAAGCTTTGCTTAATGTAAGATGCCTGTGAAAAACCAAACTCATTTCTATCAAACATAACCTTAGCAGGTGCCGCCATCCCTGCCTTCTGGAAGCCTAGATGAACTGATCCTCGGCAGACGCAGTTCTCCTTTTAAAAGCCTGCAGCATCCTTCCATTTAACTTATATTTAATGAGCCCTGCTATGGGTCAGGCTCTGTGCTAAGTAGAGGAATATGGGGATGAAGGAGACAGGGAGGAGATGGGTAAACAGACAACAAGACAACCAGTGAAGACCGTTCTGTGGGAGGAGGTACAAATGACCTTGGGAGCACAAAGGTGCACTCCTGATAACGTGACGAAAAGAAAACTATGCCTTTCCTTACGGAAGTTTCTAAAACCTCTGACCTGAATTTCTGCTTCAGAGAAGCTGGTCTACCTTAATTTTTGTTTGGCATCCAGAAATGTGGGAAATAATTTTGTGCCTCTTTCTCTTTCAATAATTCCCCATTTGACAAGTGGAAAGACTTTTGTGACTGCTGACTCTCCTCCAGGCATTTACATGCTCTGTGAGTCTTTTTAAGGGCAGGAAAGTCATCTGATCCTGTAGGAAATTTTCTGGTGGTTACACAGCTGCTGACTCTGACTATCCCACACATTGAAGGTGTAGAAACCAGTTCCTTATTTCATCTCTTAATGAAACCCACGCGAAGGAGCAACTTACAGCAACCCGCTAGGGAAAGTCACTCACCTCCACCCAGTTAATTCATAGACTTGCTAACTTTAGGTGATTTTACTCTTACTTGTTCTAAAATATTTGGAGGAAATGCCACAAAATGATTTAGGAATATATATGTATAAAAATAAATGTTAATAATGGTCCCAGTTCTACAAAAAACTGATGGAAGACATGCCATCAACATATGAAACTTTCTAATATCCGTGCTTCTAAAAATCATAATGCAAGATGTCAAAAAATAACTTTCTAAAACAGACACTTTTTCTCTATGTCTTCTCACCTTAGAAAAATGAAAGAGCAGAATATACAATTTATTACAAGTAAATTCTTTTCTTATCATATGCGTTTTCAAATATTTTCATGCTGAAATACCTACATTCATGTGGAGACACACCTGCCACTTCCTCATTTGCACCATTCCTTGGCTGATACTGCCTTTCACATTCCAAGAGCGTTCCTGGCAAAGGTAGGGGGGAGACCTTAGGGTCAGCAAGGACAGCTTGCAACATAATCCAGTTAAATCACACACAGTCAGAGTAAGGGGGAATCTGATGGGCCTGGGCAGAAGTTTGCCATCTCGGTTGACTCGGAGTTTCTCCAGAACAGAGGTGTCTTGTCACTGAACAAGCCTTCGTGTCACAGAGTGCAGAACAGTATAAAAATATTCTAAAAATATAGTCATCATTTCATTATTAATGAAAATGTTTTAGTAAAACAAGCATAAAACATAAAACAAATTTACATCAGGAGAACATGTGTTGAGATGTGAGATATTTAAATACCATTTTCTAGGACACTAAAGTAACTGAAATAGTTGAGAGGTGACAAAACAATGGGCTAATTACATCTGACACATTCTCTATACCAGATTTGAAAAATTTACGTAAAAACCCTTTGGTAGTCCAATTCCATACATATAAGTTGACATTCAAAGTTCTTTAAACAAAATCTTTTATGGTTTCAACCGTCTTTGTCCCCAGCCAGTCTGAAAGAAGGAAATTTTATAGTAATTGAAGACAGGGCATTTCAGCAGGTCTTTATCTCTGGGCAGGTGACAGACTTGTGTTTGCGGGATTTTTTTTTTTTCTCTCCTACTTGCTTCCTTCATCTGGCCAGAATCTACTCTCCTGAGGAGATGATTCATGACAATATCCTTCTCTCTTTCCTTCCCCTTATCTCCAGGGGTGATAGCAGTGGTGATATTCATTATCTTCTGTATCATCGGCATCATGACCCGGTTCCTCTACCAGCACAAGCAGTCACATCGTACAAGCCAGATGAAGGAGAAGGAATATCCAGAAAATTTGGACAGTTCCTTCAGAAATGATATTGACTTGCAAAACACAGTGAGCGAGTGTAAACGGGAATATTTCATCTGAAGAACTGCAGGGTTCCTACTATTCTTTTCTCTTGTTGCTCAATTATCTCCTCCCCCTCTTCTCTCCTGTCTTTTGATTTGTTCATTCTCTTTATTTTCTGCTTGCCATTTCTTTTCCGGAACATATTGCATCCACCACAGCATCAATTCTCTTGATCCAGCCCAGAAGACCAGGCAGCCGTGGCCACTGCCTTCGTCTCTGATGAACCTATCGGGTAAAAACGACCACTCAAGAAAGAGACTGACTTCACTATTCAAGACAAGGAAGAGACACATGTGTGCACTCCTGCATGTTCAGTTCTGTACTTACAGTTTCTAAAATGCACTGTTCAGTTTTGCAGCCATTTGGTGTTCAGGCTTGCTTTGAGCCTAAGCTCTGTGGCTTAGGCACATGACGGTCATTCCTGACATCCTTCCATCTCAAGTCCATTCTTCCCAGGGAACCCAGGGCAAGGAAAGAAGAACCTAGAGGCCTGGTTTGCCTTGGTGGCATTGTAAAAGGACTAAGAGAGGTGTGTTTTGTGAACGTTTACTTGCTTTACCATAGGCAATCCCTTGCCTTTACTCATCACGCTTTTTCACTATGACTCTTAGCCTCTGAGTATTTTCAAATATATGATTGCTGATAGTAGTGAACAAAATCACGTTGTTCCTTCCTCACTACTCTCTCCTGGGGCCAACACTTTGGGACAACACACCATAGCATAAAGCTAGGGGATGCATGGGAATAGTAGCTTGAAACTAGGACGTAACAAGAAAGCTTCTAGGAAGTAGATGTTCTGTATCTTCAAAAATGCCTCCTCCAATTTTGTAAGAATGCTAGCTAGGTATTCCTCAGATTATTATACTGAGATAAAATATATATACATACATATATGTTGCTACAGCATAAAGAAATTGAAATAAAAGTTTAAAATAGTACCTGGTTCAATGAAAGAGCCTAAATCATCTTAACTCAGCTTTAAAACAAAAATGAAATCAGGAAAAAAAAATTGAAAAA